GTCATACAGGAGGGACTCAGAGTAGAGCCGCTGCTCCTCCACGTCCAGAGGAGCCAGTTGAGGTGGTTCATTTGGTTAGGATGCCTCCTGGTGAGGTGTTCTGGACACGTCCCACTGGGAGGAGACCCAGAGGAAGACCCAGGACACGCTGGAGGGACTATGTTTCTCAGCTGGTCTGGGAACACCTTGGGATTCCCCCAGAGGAGCTGGTCCAAGTGTCTGGAGAGAGGGAGGTCTGGGTCTCTGCTGAGGCTGCTGCCCCCGAGACCTGACCCCAGCCAGATAAGAGGAAGATGGATGGATGAAATAAATTTTAAATCTTCTGTTTTATTAACAATTTTTTTAAATATCTAATCCCAGAAAATTTACATAGTCTAGATTAGGGAAAAGGTTTTGATCTGGACTATGTAAGGGTTCTAGCATTGTGCTACCATGGTAACAGACTGGAAATAAAGTCGATAAGACAAAAATCCTGCTTCACGGTCCATCAGCAGGTAAAACCTGTGTGTTTGGAGGAAAGGGCAGTTTTAAGTAAAACCTCCAGATGAAGCACCTGCTCGCTGGCTGAAGTCTGGTGGACCATCTGTACGTGGCCTCTTCCTGCCGTGGAGGTCAAACTCTTCAGGTCGACGCCTACATAAACACACACACAGGTGAGACGTACACACACACACACACCTGTACACACATCTGTTAACACACACACACAACCTCACACACAACTACAAACAGGAAATGACAGCTTTAAAAAAATCACTGTTATTACCTGGTTTAACTAATCCAAACCTGACACAACAGGTTTATGACTAAAGACTTGTGGTCCAGGTGGAAGTGACTAAGAACAACCTTTCTGTAATGATGTCATCATGTATTATATTTATATGAAGTATTTTTAGTTTATTTCTCTTTTCTGTCCTGGTTGGATCTGAATTTGACATGTGGAGCCTCAAGCACTATTTTATGTGAATGGTTGTTTTTAGTGATATGTTAATTGTGTGTGTGTGTGTGTGTGTGTGTGTGTGTGTGTGTGTGTGTGTGTGTGTGTGTGTGAGATATGTATGTTTTGTACTACAAAAGTACCTTTAGGTATAAGTAACAAAGTAAAATGTATGGATGTGAGTGGAGCAGAGAAGGTCCAGATTAAAGCACATCCCAGTCTGAGGAGATGGTTCAGACATGTTCAGGACTGAAGGTGGAACTGCTCCGTCTCAACACCTGTCTGCACCACAGCTCAGGTGTCCAGGATCTGTTGCTGTGGACATACACCCAGGAGAGAGGAGAACCTGGAGTTACCTGCTTCACACAGACACCTGCTCTCATACCGGTCCACTTACTGGTCCCACTGGTCCAGTCCTAACCTGGTCCTCCTGCTGGTCCTGCTGTGAGCTCTGGATCAGAGGCGTGAGCGGTTCCACAGCCCTCTGATCCAGGTTCGGGTTCAGGTTCAGGTTCTGACTGGGTGTATTTCAGACACACTCGCACACACAGGAGTATAAAGAGAAGAAGGAGGAGGAGCCTGTGGCAGGGACAACCTACCGCTTGTGTTGTTATGAGGGAGGGGCAACACTTCCTAACAAACAGTTTGTCTCCTCATCAGTCCGTTTAAAGGCTTTTACAACCCTCTTATTTCTGTGTGTGTGTGGGGGGGGGATGGTGATGATGATGGTGCAGTCCTGTCAATCAAACACAACGCCCTGCCCCTCTCAGCACAGCCCCGCCCTCTCCATACAGCAGTCCTGAAAACAGAAACTGTCCGTTGTTTGATCCACACACGGTCAGATCGAGTCCATGAGTGATACACACACACACACTCCACTAACACCAGTCCCATTCAGTGTGTGAGTGCATCAGGGAGGAGGGGGACAAAACAGTCCTTCCATGTGGCGGAGGGGGCTCAGCATCACTCTTAGTCCAGTCCTTCATCTCTGTAATTTACCTTACAGAAAGCCAGGAAGATACGCCCCAATTCAGCAGTCCTGATGCCCCGCCCCCAATCAAACACCTGAAACCTCTCTGAACCCCCCTCACCCCCTCCTCCATCAGTCCAGCCTTCATCTTTTCTGCTTTTACTCTGAAAGGTTCAGCCACAGTCCGTTCAGACTACACGCCACACTTTCATTTTACAACGTGTGAAGCACCAGAATCCTGAAAGACAAACAGCTTTAAAGACATTTAACAAGATGAAAGGTAACTTCTTCTTCCTCGGCTGTCTGGATGACAAAAACAACCGAAGAAAGGAAAACTAGAGAAAGAGCTGAAGTTAAACCTTAAAGCTGAACGACTCTGTTGTTGCTAACATGGACTGATCAGCGTTTCTACTTCCTGCCTGACTCAGATTTCACCGTGACGCAGAGCGGGTCCTGGCTCCGGTGGGGACTGCAGGAAACAACAACAACCAGAGACCCGGCCTCAGGAAGCTAGCCGCCGGCTAACGGCAGCAGCCGTCTCCTTTGTCCGGCAGCAGGTGGCGCCGTGGTCACAGCGGTAGAAGAAGAACAGGAAGCAGGCGAAGGAGCTTGATGATTGGCTAACCTTCCCGGTTCACGCAGGGGTGGTCGGCCTCGGGGCCGCGGCTCTGACGGCGTCCCGCGCTTGTGACGAATGCGACGAGCCACCTGGTGAACGTCCACGCTCTCGTCCAATGGGAACAGGGCACAGAGTTTAGCTCCGATATCCGGCTGGATCTCCTGAACAAACCATGCAAACAGAAGAAGTCAGAAGTTCAGCCAACAGCAGAACCACAAACCTCCTTAAATCAAGCTCCTCTAACAGACCAGGTGACCTTCAGCTCACCTGGCCATCTCGTCCGATTTTCACTGGCTTGCTGTCGTTCCAGGGGTTGGACAGGTGGGCCGTCTTGATGAAAGGAAGCTCCCTCCTGAAGATAAGACAAGACTTTTTACTCCTTCCTGTTTTGATGCTGAAAACATCATCTGACAGGAAGCAGAGCTCACCTGCACAGCCAGTCGATCTTAAAGACTCCTCCCAACATCTTGGCGTTCATGCCAGCAGGAAGAACCCAGTGGATTGGAGAGCCGCCATGATAGGACTCTGAGGCTAAACGAGCGAAACCTGAAGAGTAAACAAACAGAAACATGTGAGTAAACAAACAACAGAAACATGTGAGTAAACAAACAAACAACAGAAACCTGAAGAGTAAACAAACAAACAGAAATGTGAGAAACATGTGAGTA